AGGGATGTTGTTCTTTTGTTCTGTTTGTTCTTCTAATACCTTTCATAGGACTTGACCTTGCTACTCTTCTGTTGCCATTTTTGTATGGTTTGAGGTTTTTAACTGCAGTTTTAGAATTCTAACTTGACAGAAAACCTTCTTTAGGCCCCAAGATAACTCAGCGGACTAAGCGCCTACTTAGGCAAGCACAGGGACCGGGGTTCAATCCCTGGCACCACATGTCGCACTGACGTCACCCTCAGGTATACTTAGCCAGCCACTGAGACTGGGCATGGTGGCACACACCTATAATCCCTGCACTGGGGAAGCTGAGACAGGAGGATCACTATGAGTCCGAGCTGTGTAGTAAGACCCTATACCAAATATATTTTTAGAAAGACAGACAGACAGCCTTCCTTCCTCTGCTGTTTTTATACAGAGGTCTAAAATATGGTGGCTCCCTCCCGATGTTTCCCATTTTTATCCCTACTTTTTGCTACATTTCTCTTTATCTTCACCTCTAATACACCAATCCTCAACTTTTATGCCACTGTCATGATTCGTCTCAGTGTGGGTCCCTACCCTTGAGTCATCCTTCCAGTAGTTTCAGTAGTTCACGGTAGCAAGATTATACTAGGTTTGGTTGTTAGGTTTGGTTTGGTTTGGTTTGCTTGTATTCAGGGCTTTGCACTGAGCTACAATCCAAGCCCTTTTACCTTTCTAAAATGTTGAGCCAAGGTCTCACTAAGTTGCTAAGCTTTCCACACTAGACTCAAATTTGCCATCCTCCTACCTCAGTCTGCTAGAGTACATGGGACTAAAGATGTGTGCCAACAGGCTTGGCTGCTCCAGCTTTTCTAATTCCCAGCATCAATCTCCTGTACATACCACAAGTACAGCAGGTAAACTCCTTTCCATTTTTAGTTTGCCTGCCATACTTTCCATGAACGTATGTAGGCTATTCTAGAATCTTCCCATTCAGATTCAGACATTTCATTTCTTCCCTGTTTTTTCCCACACACATGCTGATACCAAACAAGCTTTGTTGCTGTTTGTGGCTTGTCCATACCTGCTTGTATTTGAGTATAAGGATATCTTTCAATTGGCTTTATTGTAAATATTATCCATAACGTTTTTCTTTTTATATCTAAAGTTTCTGTGTTTATATTAAATTTTGAAGGGGCCGGAGAGATGGCTCAGTGGAATAAGCGCTTTCCTGGCAAACGCAAGGGCCTGAGTTCAATCCCCAGTTCCACAAAATAAATAAATAAATAAAATAAAATTTGAAGAGATTGAAGAAACATGCTGCAACCATCTTTCCTGTTGTTTCCTATAAAAATTTCTCCACCTTCTTTTTTGTTTTGTTTAGTACTGGGAATCAAACTCACAACCTCAAGCTTGCCAGGCAAGTGCTTGTGCTGCTGAGCTACATCCCCAGCCCAAAATTTCACTTCTGTATTGCCACTTAATTTTTTATTTGTAAATGCCTGCAGAAGACTGTATAGCTCATTTTTAAAGTGGAAATGCCCCCACAGCTTCCTCTTGAAGTACAACTAAGTCACACTTGTGGTTTCAAAAAATCAAGTTATTTCATTAAATTGTGTCTGAGGTTTCTTTTTCTCCATACCCATTAACTCAACCACTTAAACTGAGTAGGAAGCACTCATCAATGGTGAGATGCACCACAGGAAATGAAAAGACATCAGCTACTAGAAATACACAGCCACAGGTTTTCTGTTACTGGTGAAGTTATTCACCACAAAACTGCCAAAAGTTACATGTAAGATATAAAGCAGGGGTCAGCAAGTATTTTCTGATCAAACAGCAAATATTTCAAGATTTACGGGCTATGGCATAAAATATACTGCTGCTTTGCCTCTGATCAGGGGACTCCCCAAATCTCTTCTCATTTCCTGGGAGCAAAGATGACAGAGGCTTACACAAAGATCTGAAAATCCTCAAAATTTCTTAATGAACAACTCCTGTGTTTGTGGCATGTGTGCGTATTTAAAAAAAAAAAAAAAAACTCCTTGAGAGGTTGGAGAGATAGCTCAGTAGAATAAACGCTTGCCTGGCAAGTGCAAGGTCCCGAGTTCAATCCCCAGTACCACGCAAAAAAAAAAAAAAAAAAAA